ATATATATATATATATATGTATATATATATATATTTATTTTTTTTAATTTAAATTTTTTTATTTTATTAATTAATCATAATGAAAACTGACTGATGGTAACTCACAAAATTGAGTAGAAATATGAAATTATTTATTAAAATTAAAAGCAGAATGATTTATATTTATATTTATAATGTTTCATAATATTGAAGTTATTTATAATTCATGATATTTATATGTAAATAAAATGAAATGTATCACAGTATCCACAAAAATATTAAAAAGCACGACTGTTTTCAACATTGATAATAATCAGAAATGTTTCTTGAGCAGCAAATCAGCATATTAGAATGATTTCTGAAGATCATGTGACACTGAAGACTGGAGTAATGATGCTGAAAATACAGCTGCGCATCACAGAAATAAATTACAGTTTAACAGATATTCACATAGAAAACAGCTGTTTTACATTGTAATAATTTTTCACAATTTTTGTACTGTATTTTTGATCAAATAAATACAGCCTTGGTGAGCAGAAGAGAATCTTATCAACCCCAAACTTCTGTACATTAATCTTCAATTTAGGTTGTGCTTATTTTCGTTGTCTACTAGAATAGCCTATGAACTCAATGTGCACCTTATTTACTGTCTTAATAGAAGTTCCTGCTCTAATCGTGTATGATTGATCAGTTCACATTTAATGAAGAAAGAAATATTCATCTTGTAGTCTTTCATCTGTAATGTAATAACTTGCTTCTCCTCAGTAATGACTTTCCTTTCGCCTGCTCGAGTTTAACAAGTGCCTGCCTGCTGTTTCAAGAGGAAATCGCACCGCAATCGATCGCAAACTCTAGAATCTAACTTTCCCACTTTTCACAATGCAATCAATTCCTACTGGACATAATGAAGTGCCACACTACATTCTTCTCCTGGGATCTCCTGTACTGCTGTAAACATTATGGTCGTAAAATGAGCTGCAGTGCTGTTTCCTTTCTATCTGAAGCAGTGGTTCAGTGAACAGAGGATAAGAGTATGTCCTGATATCATTTCCCCTCTCTTAGCCCTACTCTTCCTTGACTGCATTATGAATAAAGATGGCACAAGATCTGCCAAAATGCAGTTCCAGTCTAGGCAGGACGCTCGGTGGATTTTGGTACAGGGCCTGCCGTCCCATGTTATAGTAGGGCTGGAACAATTTTTTTTCTTTCTTTTTTTTTATCAATTAATTCAAATGTAAAAGGTCAAACACGTCCATAAAATGCATTTTTAAACAGAAAAGCAATAGAAAACAGAAAGCTGTGCAGATCCAGTACTGTATGTCTGATATCTGATGTTTGCGTTTTTATACTCTTTTATACGCTTATAAAAGTATATATACTTATACTTTTATACTCTTATACTTTTTAGATCACTGAACTGCTGATATTATACTTGTATATATATCTTATACTGCTTCTTATACTTTATACTTTGAATTGACTTTTTGATTTGATCCCTAAAACTGAATGCCTACGTTTTGGCTAAGAAATTTTATTTATATTATTTATGAACATATAGGATATGTTTGAGACAAGTTTGTACAATATTTGCCTTACTATTATATGTTTGCAGAAAAGATGCATGAAATATGAAGTAATTTGTTTTACATTTACAGTATGTTGAACTTCTCGTATGCTGCACTTGGAACATAACTTTCTTTAATCAGATGGTTTTGTAAGTTTTTAATAAATGTGTTACTTGAATCATGTTGAAATTACGATAAGAGGACTACTTTAACCTTAAAAAAAGAAGAACAACAAAAAAAACAAAAAACCATCAAAATCATGATCTTGAATCGGTCAAATCTTCTGGAAAAAGGAAGAAAAAAAGACAATATTTTTTGCCATATACACTTAGGCTTTGGATGATGAGGATGATGGTGTGATGTTGTGATGGCGTGATGTTGTGATGGTGATGATGTTGTGATGGTGATGATGGTGTGATGGTGGTGATGGTGATGATGTTGTGATGGTGATGATGTTGTGATGGTGATGATGTTGTGATGGTGTGATGTTGATGATGTTGTGATGGTGATGATGGTGATGATGTTGTGATGGTGATGATGCTGTGATGGTGATGATGTTGATGATGTTGTGATGGTGTTATGATGGTGATGATGGTGTGATGTTGTGATGGTGGTGATGTTGTGATGTTGTGATGGTGATGATGTTGTGATGGTGATGGTGTGATGGTGATGATGGTGTGATGTTGATGGTGATGGTGGTGATGGTGATGATGTTGTGATGGTGGTGATGTTGTGATGGTGATGATGGTGTGATGTTGATGATGTTGTGATGGTGTTATGATGGTGATGATGTTGTGATGGTGGTGATGGTGATGATGTTGTGATGGTGATGGTGTGATGGTGATGATGGTGTGATGTTGATGATGGTGGTGATGGTGATGATGGTGTGATGTTGTGATGGTGGTGTGATGTTGATGATGTTGTGATGGTGATGATGGTGATGATGTTGTGATGGTGATGATGTTGTGATGGTGATGATGGTGTGATGTTGTGATGGTGATGATGTTGTGATGGTGGTGATGGTGATGATGTTGTGATGGTGTGACGCTGACCTGGCGAGCTGACCGGTTGTCTGGTGAAGGACACGTTGAAGGCGGGCTCCTCGCTGAGCACTGATGGATACATCCTCCGGCGAATGAAGAAGCCCGCTCCGCAGCAGAAGAACACGCCCATCATCAGCAGCAGCCTATGAGAGAGCAGACACACACGACTGACACAACCACCATCAAATCACATGCCAGCTGCTGCACATTACCCACAAACGGCAGAAGTTACAATTCTATACTGTTTTATTGAAGTGCTAAATAAAAAATGGGTCAAAGATGAGATGTCCCAGTTTGCTGTCTTCATCAAATTAAACTTAAAAAAAGCATTAACAAAAAGCTTCAAATAACTTAAAAAGTAAAAATAAAATGTAAAGAATATGGCTGAAATATTCAAGTAAAAAATAAAACTTATTCTAACCTAGGGATATGCCGGTATCAAATTTTCATGTTGCGATTAATTGCTAATGCTTTTATCACGGTATACGGTATTATCGCGATATTGAAATTTAGTTTTTAAAAAAGTGCTGTCATAATACAGTAGAACAGGTTTAATAACTTTTTTCTTATAACAAAAATAACTGAACATTTAAATGCAATAAAGCAATACAGAAAAATGTATAAAGTTAAAAGTATTCTTGCTGTCAAATGGGTAAAACTTGGTGGTTTGAAGGATTTAAAAAGTGGCAAAGATTTAGAATGATAATTCATTAGTATTTTAGGGCTGAACTGTGATTCTTAAATACAGTATTTTAATGTCATCTAATTATTCTTGGTGTAGCTTTTTTTGGTATGTGATCTATTACATTGAATGACATTTCAGTGGGTGTCTTCTTGAAAATCATGGTAAAAATGTCATTATTTTTTTGCTCAGAACAAGTCAAATGAAACAGGAAATTCTAATGTATGAAGGGAAAACCCTTACATTTTAAAGCTGTATTAAACTTTTGTTTTGATGCTTGAAAACCTTTTTCATATTTGACCCAAAGATTATTGGAGTATGTTTTACAAGAAAATACGGTAACACTTTACTTAAAGCCTTTATGCATAATGCATTGTAAAGGTATTCATAATGTACATTGTAATGCATTATATCTTTTCATGATTTTTCTAATCAAATTTAAAATGCATTATAATATTTGTAGGTTTGTTTTTCATGTGCATTATACTTTTTAAAAGTGTAACAACAAATATTGAAGTATTATAACTATAGTTACAATTAATCATGAGATCATACAATGCATTATAAGGTGCATTACAATGCATAATTAATGCATTAAAACTACTTTTATAATGCATTATACATAAAGGCTTTAAGTAAAGTGCTACCAAAAATACTAGTTCAGTTTTTCAACTTCAAAATTTCACATTTAAGTCCATGTAACTTGCTGTTTTATAATTATTTGTGAAATTTACTGGCAATTTACTGAGTGAAAATAGTAAATCATACAGTAAATGAAAAATAAAACACAAAGTAATAATGTATAAAAGGAGAAGAAAAGGCCATTCTTACCAGAAATACCAGAGTCTCTGGATGGAAAGCGCTCGGACGCAGCAGCGAGTCCCACAGCAGTCCTCATACGAGCGACATCTGTGGAGAAACCGTGAAGAAGAAAAGATGCAATCAGTTCATTTCCATTTCCAACTAAATGCGTGCACAGATCCAGGACTCTTCACCGAGAGCCGATGCCATCTCATTCACAGAAAACATGAACAATGATGAATGAAGCAGCGGTGAACTGGAATGAAAACAGATGCATTGAACTGCTGATACACTGAAAACTAATACTAATAAGAAGATTGTCTTTCCACAGCAGCTGCAGTATTTGCAAACCTTTCATACATTTTGTGCAACTTTAAACAGTTCAGAATCCTGCAGTGATCAGAGTCCAGACGAATATTTTATTAGCTTTTGAAGGCTTCACCTCACAGTTCTTCTGCAATCAAACCATATACGTGACCCTGCAGCACAAAAGCAGTCTTAAGGCGCTGGGGTATATTTGTAGCAATAGCCAACAATACATTGTATGGGTCAAAATTATTATTTTTCTTTTATGCCAAAAATCATTAGGATATTAAGTAAAGATCATGTTCCATGAAGATATTTTGTACATTTCCTACCGTAAATATATCAAATCTTAATTTTTGATTAGTAATATGCATTGCTAAGAACTTCATTTGTACAACTTTAAAGATGATTTTCTCAATATTTAGATTTTTTTGCACCCTCAGATTCCAGATTTTCAAATATTGTCCTATCCTAACAAACCATACATCAATGAAAAGATTATTTATTCAGCTTTCAGATGATGCATAAATCTCAATTTCGAAAAATTGACCCTTATGGCTGGTTTTGTGGTCCAGGGTCACAGATACCGTTGGTGACACTGAGTGAAGCAGTGAGAAGAAACGACGGTCAAAGAGACTCATTTTCATCACAGCAGGATCTCTCCAACTGCTGAACGGGGATTTTCATTTTGTAATTGTGTTATAATGAGTAGCAATTAAAAATTAGTTGAGCCAATGCTATTATTGGCAGAATGTGGCAGTAATGACCAATAAAACATGATTTATCTACTATATGGAAATGTTATTATAAAATATATATTATTGTGTTAATTACAATAATAATTTATTGCATTAAACATAGCAATGCATACATGAAAGCACAATATACAGATCTATCTATCTATCTATCTATATATCTGTCTGTCTGTCTGTCAATCTATCTGTTTTTAATAGTCACTTTTAAGTCAGTTTTAGTCACCCAAAGTTGCATTTATAAGATTGAAAATACAGTAGAAATTATGAAATATTATTACAATGTAAAACAGCTGTTTTCTATGTGAATATCTGTTAAACTGTAATGTATTTCTGTGATGCGCAGCTGTATTTTCAGCATCATTACTCCAGTCTTCAGTGTCACATGATCTTCAGAAATCATTCTAATATGCTGATTTGCTGCTCAAGATACATTTCTGATTATTATCAATGTTGAAAACTGTTGTGCTTCACAATATTTGTGTGTGGAAACAACATCACAGTGCAGTTTGAGTAGTTATGGTCTGTCTGAGCTGAGATCCAATGCATTATTGATTCACAGATGTGCTGCAGATAATATCACCTGAAATATGAACATATGCTGAGAAGCATCAGTTATTCAGATTCTCTCAGTTAAAGCATGCCTGTGCATCTGATCAGCAAACCCAACACTGGTGTGGATCCTATAGCAATAAAGACATGAAGCAGAGCGCTGGACTGACATTTCCATAGTGAGGACTGATGATGACGACACCAGTTCTTGTGTAATTTAGTGTTGTTTCATTTTAACTATTGCTAAAGTATTTTATCACTTCTAATTTTTGTGGTTACCCAACACATATAAACTGGTCTAAATCTGTCACACAGCCCAAGACGTCAACTACAGAAGATATGGGAAACTTTTTCCACTTCCTTTAATAAGTTGTTTATTTATTATTCTGTTATTACTTTATTATTTACATTAAGCAGTAATTAATGAAAGTTTACATAAATGTATTAGTTGTGTTCCTATTGTCCTATTGAATTCCATGACTCTCAATTTACTTGAACTGAATGAATGCAGCTTGCGGAGAAAACACAATCTGATCCGCATTATCAGAGCAGCAGGCTGTTCTCCTTCAGGTCCTGTGGCGAAGTGCGTGCTACCGGTTTCAGATAACAAAAGTCATTCTTTATTGCTATCTTTGGTGTGAAAACAGCAGCAGGAACATCAGCGAGTATGAGCAGTGAACGGACAGTGATGTCAAAGGATTGAATCCAGTATTTGTTTTTATTCTGAGCTTTTCTAGATGCTGTGATTTATGCAGCTTCTGCTAAACAGGGAATCATTTCAGAGCAAACTGAAAGCCCTGTGCATGAGAAGAGAAAGAACTGTGCTGATTTGCTGTTTAATGCCGGTTTCTTCAGTGGCTCTTCTGTCCCGTCACATCAAACAGAGATGAGCTGGCGCTCTTCAGGAGGAATCAAAGGCCATTTTAGCAGAGCTTCAGCTCGACAGCAGCACTAATGACCGAGACTCACTAATCAAAGCAACGACCGACAGAGAAAAGACCGTCTCAGCAGCTAAAACCCTGCTCGCTTAGACTTCTGCAAAACCCAAGAGCAGTTCGAATCCTGAACAAGCACTTCACATGTTCAGCTCTATATTCACTGAACGACAGCATGTTCCTCCTCTAAACAACACTGAAAGCACTACACCCTTTTTCCAAGCTGTGCCATATTGTGAAATGAGAAATAAATTAGCCCATCAGAACCACTGCGATCTATTAGCATACTTAATGGGCCATTTCTGAGGAGCCAGCGGGAGGAGAACGTGATTATTACCATCAGAGGAGCAGCATCACAACCATACCTCCCTCTGCAACAATACATCAATCAGAAATTAATTAAAAAAGAAATACATCAGCCTGCACACAAGACACAGTGTTTAATGCCAACCAAATCATAAATGATTTCATACCATACAGCACTAAAGAAAGATCAAATATAATCTCACTTTAAATATATAAAAAAGTTCAAACATTCTGGGGAAGTTTTTTTTTTCGTGGGACAAAATCAATACTTTTATTAATCAAGGACGCATTAAATTGATTAAAAGTGACAGATCAAATGTGACACTGAAGACTGGAGTAATGATGCAGTACATCACAGCAATACATTACATTTGAACATAATATTCACCTAGAAAACTTTTATTACAATTTTACATGTTGATAATATTTCATAATTTTTGATCAAATAAATGCAGTGTTAAACACTAAGATAATCAGTTGATCACTAATAAAAATCTGACAAAGATACTAAATGCATCATCATAAATGTACTATCTTTGTTCAAATCTATATTGTCTGCTAAATACTTCTTTTTTTTTTCTTTCCTTTTTTTGTGTCCTGGGGGGGGGTTAACTTGAATCCCTACATAATGGAATATGATTGTGATTTATAGGTTGCAGACATTATTCTAAATAATGCAGATCATTATTTATTCATTTATTTATCACTATAAAATGGGACTTCATTTCTTGCATGCCATAGCACTGTAATTTCTATTATTCTGTTTCAGTGTACGCCACTGTATCTCATCTGTTCTGTTCTGTGCAGTGAAGGTTCATCTCTGCCATAATACATCAATATTACCTCGTTCATAACTAATTCATATGAACTGAATCTGCAGCCCGCAGGTTTCTGCATTCTGCATCTTCCTGCATCTTCAATTATTACATATTGTGGCTATTCTGAAAGCAGTACTTAAACAGTCTGCTTCAAATACTTAAATACTTGTAAAGCAGTTTTATTTATTACATTTAAAATATTGCTGCGTCTCAGAGAATTAAAAAGGAGTCAATGACAAAGAGTGTATGTGTTGAAGAAAAAGAAAAATCTTTTAAAACATTTTTGTGTAACCAAGTTTCATTTCCTTCAATACACGCAAGTATAAAATTAATTAATTAATTAAATAGTGAATAAAAAAAAATAAATAAAAAAAATTTAGTTGTCATACAAAGGTCAAATTATTTGATTTAAGGAAAAAAACTGCTTTCATTTATTTATTTGTTTGTTTACATGTTTCTGCATATATTTGCTTTGATTTTGGGAGACAAAAGTGTTTCAAAAATGTTCAAATATCACATTTAAAATATTGTTGGCCCTGTTCAAAAATTATATTAGGTTATATTATTTTTTTTGTATTTTATTTATTGCTTTAGGTGTTTTGTTACTAATGAATCATACCATGCAGAAATAAAAGAGTTGTATAGTGCAAGCTATGTGTAAATAGAAGCAAATAAAGTCAGAGCCTCAGCCGGCGTCCTGCTGAAAGCATCAATTTAATATAAATCTAATGTCACAGAACCCTCTTTAACAATGAATTCTCTCAGGGCCTAATGGATCGGAATAGACTGTGATTTACGTAAATTATAGGACTATATCTCAGCGTGTGTCAGACAGTTTACCACAGCAAAATATACCATTTATCAGTTCTGAAGTGAGCAAACGCTGTTCTGTGCTGATATTAGCCTTTACCTGTATGTGAGTCAGAACAGTGTTGGCGTTGAGCTTCTCGAGTGTAAGGACAGTTCAGCTTCACAGAAGGCAGTTCTGACCTGAGTTTTTCCTCTGAAGCTCTTCATATCTGAGAGAATGACTGGACTTCAAGCACGAGTCAAGATGTCAGTGCTGATTTTCAGCAAACCTCTGGGAGATTCATCACACGCTATCAGTCACACAAACTGAAAGGATCCAAAATAAGTCCTGTAATTTTAATGACTAAGCAACAGCAACAAAACTGCAATTGAGTATACTATGTTGAATATGAAACCACTTTTTTGTTTATGACTGAAATGTATGTCTCTCCTATTAATTAAGAATACTCTGACTAATAATAAACAACAAAACATTTTCTTGTAAGACATTACAAAAACATTTGGTGTTGCATTTACTTTGAAACAATTTTAACTCGGAAATTGCTAGTAAAAGTTTACAAATTATTATGAAGAAACACCTTACATATATGGAGGGCGTCATCAAATTTTTTGTTTGAAGGAGATCGTTC